GTTGATTTAAAAAAGTTTGGCTCCAGATCATCTGCATCTGCGGCAGAACAGATTGGCTTTTCACCAAAACACCGTATTAAGTGAGTCATCATCATCAGTATTGCCTTTGCCACCCTGGGTCATGGTATAGGCCATGACTAAACATTTTCCATCTTTCCCTATCCTGGACTAGCCTCTTGATGTTATTCCATGTATTCTCACTTTTTTATGCATCGATTTCTGTGATTCTTCTCCTGGTTCTGCGTGGTCATACCCTTGATCTTTTAATTAAATGAGTACTTCCGTTGTTTTTTTTTCAGGGTTGGCTCTTACATAAAGGGTCCTGGCAGTCTGACTCCAAAAGTATCTTAATGACGTCGATTGGGGCGTAGAACGGTCATAATCGCTCCTATCCCAGATTGCACCAAGATAGACAGAGTTGGGAAAAACAGACGACCTGCTCCAAGCTCCATAGAATCCCACACACTCATGTCCACGGATCGAGAATGGAGTACACAAGAAATACAACTCAGCTGCCTTTTCTCCAAGATGGCGTGTCTTTTCAGCACGGCGAGTGGCTGGGCGGAATCAATCGAGGGACTCTCAGAACAGTGCTTGCGATCGTGTCCATCGTCTACGCCCCCTTCATCGTGCTCAGCAGCTCTCTCATCATTGCGTCTACATGCCTGGTAAAGAAGTTCCACACGGCCGAAGATTACATCTTCGTCAACCTCGCGGCGGCTGACCTGATTGTGGCTGTTGTGCAGATCCCCATCTCCGTCGTCGCTCTCTTCCCAGGAACAATGCATCTGATTCGATCTGGAAAGATAACCTGTAGCATTTGGCATTTCTCCATTTCAATTGGATCGTGTTCTTCCTTAACATTTTTATTTTTGTTGTGCGTAGAACGTTCCGTTGCCATTAACATGCCATTTAGATATTACCAATTGGTGACGAAGAAAGTACTAATAGGAGCTATTAGTTTTTCATGGATGCTCAACTGGGGTCGTGGTGCTTTTAGCATGACTATCCTTTCTTTCAATAGCACCATTTTGCCCCTGGAGCGCAGGTGTGACTTCTATCTAAATTTCCCTTTGTGGTACGTCAAATATATTGTCATGGCAACGGTAACGATCAAGTTGGTATTGTCCGCAGTTTTGTGTGTGCAAATAGTAATCGTCGCTTTTCGGCATGCGAGGAACATAAATCGTTGTTCGATCCCCCGCTCTATTGCGCAACGGAAAAGGGCCAGGAAACATGCCATTTCTGTGAAAATTACAGTAGCACTCATGTTCCTCTTCATCCTCTTGTGGTCGCCTCGCATTGTCGTTTTGGTGTCAGACGTCATCGGCTATGATAATGAAACTGTCCACAAGTTCAATTCCATCGCCTGGCTGATTCTGCTCACCAACTCGTTCGTGAACGCTCCTGTGTACGCTTTCTGTCGACCTCTCTACAGGGACATTTACCGACAGTTGCTGGTCACTCCGCCCTCTCGGTGGGGCAATTTGCACCGTAAGATGGCAAGCGTCTCGGACGGAGGAACCACGATTGGATCAATAGGCCTGATGCCAACTAGACTGTCGCCCACATCCAGCCAACGAAAGGACAGTGAATGTTCACATAAACCAGCATCGCCCACAGTGCAGGTAGACTCACAAGTCCGCTTCGAGTTCGAGCCCAGCAGTAGCTCGGCTTCTTCCAAGAAGATTTGACCGGGAGTCGTCGACAAGTTTGAATTGATTATGATGTCGACCGCTCAGTCGAAAGGCTGGGGTTCGTTTCCAAAACTTCAAGCTATGATTTTATGGGGGGAACCCCGGCATACCTGATTACTGTGCAGTTGAAATTCATAGCTCATAAACTAGATTTCCAAATATTTCACCAGTTGTTTTCTTCCTCTGTCCCCCCTTTTTTCCCCCTTTTTTTTTTGTTGAGAAATGTGTTTTTTTTTGTGGCATTCGCGAGGATCTACCCCAACCTATAATTTATATGTTTAATAAATACGTTAGGGACAAAAAGGTCTAATTGGGATGGAATAATATCTTACTTGAAGAAAAAAGCGTCAAAATTACAACACAAGAAAATGAGGGTGAATGCTTCTTTTAAAAAAGGTGCGATAATATAAATATTTTGTAAAAGTTTCTCACATAATATGTAAGCTTACGTGAACATAACAAGTGTGGTATCTTCCTAAAGTGTTAAAGCAATCGGGTTGTGATATTATAATACTAGACCTCGGGTTCGTTTCAGTGACGGCATGCGCGTCAGACATGGCGGCCCTCTTGTCCTCAACTGCTTGGCCAGCGCACTTTAATTTACATGAATGTCAATTTAAAATCCGCCCTGCCCCTACATTTCAGTGCAAGCTTGAGGATTTTCTTCCAAGACCGTCCAGACGCCTCTGTGTGAGTCTCGAAAAGTTTACTCTTCGTCTGTTGAACTGCACAAGTTCTTGCCCTCAACGCTCTGCGTCCCAGATAGAGTGGCCCCACGCAGCCCCCTCCAACTCCAACCCCCACCAACCCCACCTCCTTCATGTCAAAGTGGGTGACTTCAGTGCCCATGCCACGAGCTCTTGTACCAAAACGTATTTGAACTAAAGGGCACTAAACTGCATTGCCCTAGTATTGAGCTAGTGTTATCGTGTGTAGCTCAAGGACATGGTGACCATCCACATAAAGCCGTGTCACCAACACATGCTAGACTTTGTTTGGAAATTCCAGTTTACTTTAATCCGTGCAGTTTTGAACCTATACCAAAGAGGTTTCCAGTACTCTGTATAACTTCTTTGACCTTTTCTGGAAAGCAGACGCTCATATTTCTAAAAAGTGAATTTGGAGAGCAACGGCTTTGAAATACTGGAGTATTAATTTATAACACTTCACAGGGATTGAAACCTATAATGGTACGATCAAAAATTCGTTGCGCAACTTATCGTCAAATAGAACTCTCCAATTTTGACACAGCGACTTGATTGTTCTCAACATATCAGTATTTCTGCAAATACCCGTTTGTAGTTCATAGACAATTCCTTATTAAATACTGATTAAAAATCCTTGTGCGTGGTTTCTAAAGGTTTGAAAAGGTTTACGTATCATGAGCTGGGATAATCACATTTAAAAGCAAGGCCGTCCTTTCTTCTAATCGCAATCTACCTTTAGTACAAAAAAGGCTTGTGATATTACATGTATTACTTTATTGTAACAATATCCTCGATGTGTATTTTATTGGGGGAAAAACGATCGATACACACGCTTGTGTGAGTGTGTGTGTGTGTGTGTGTGTGTGTGTGTGTGTGTGTGTGTGTGTGTGTGTGT